AAAAAAAATCAGAAAAGGTAATTGCGACTTTTTATATCACAATTTAGATTTTTTTCTCAGAATTGTGAGATATAAACACTGAATTCTAACAAACATCTCGCAATTGTGATTTTTTTTTCCCCTTAGAAATATGACTTTGTCTCGCAGTTCTGACGTTTTTCCTCTGAATTCTGACGTTGCTTCTTGTAGTTCTGGGTTTTTTTCTGCCATAGTAAATTACAACATTTTATCTAAAAAAAATCGACAGTTTTCATTCATTTTCACATTTTGTTTTAAGTGCAACAGACGTAATAGATTTAGTTTTTGCCCTTTATATTTGTGGGGCATTTTTGTTCATTTTGCCCCAAGCTGATATTTACAGTGATTAAAGCATAAACTGACGCCTCTGTCTTTAGAGGGCCAAGTGGAGTTCAAGCAGCCTTCCCAGCTTGCCGTGTGTCAGGACCGTCTGATCCAGGACGTGATTGGAGGAGAGGATCTGTGCAGAAGCCTGAGTCTGTCCTACCTGCATCCTGCGCTGCAGTCGCGTCTCTCCAGCTCACTGCTAACCGCGCTGGGCGTTCATCGCCTGTGTGTGTGTGTGTGTGTGTGTGTTTTTTGTCATTTTAATTAGTCATTTCTTTTAATATTTATATAGTTTTTATTAGGTTTAATGTTGAAATGAAGCTGAAATCAAATACATTTGTTTTTATTTTATTTCATTTCATGTTAAATTTGTTAAGTACTTAACATTTATGGTTTTGTCTTTAGTTCTAGTTTTAGATTTTGTTAGGGTTTAGTTAATGATAATAACCCTGACAATAAATAAAAATTAATACAAACTGTTCATATAGACATATAAAAAAAAAACCTACTAAAAACTAAACAAAAAAACTAGACGACAACACACACCGAAACTTTAAATTAAATAAAAGTGCAATCAGAAAATACTATGATATATACATACTATGATAACATTGGTCACGCTGTGTTCCCCGTTGTAGGTGATTTTGACATCCCTTCCTCCAGAGAGGATGTGGACAGAGACAGTTCCTGGAACCAGTGGCTTCGCTCTGAGATCCCGCAGCTGTTTGTACACGCCATGGATGTCTTCAATGTAAGAACGGAGTGGAATATGATGTTCCTCCATTAATTTGCATGCATTTGCATTTAAACTCCAGCTTCAGATGAAGGTCAAGGCTCACAGTCTGTTTAAGGAGCTGCTTTTAGCATGAAAAAAGAAAAAAAAATGGCATTGGCTTTCTTTATGCGGCATCCAAATGAAAATTTCTAGCCCTAATGAGCACATGCAATGTCAATCCCACAGCAACACCCAGAGTTCAGCGGGCTCGGCGGCCTCTGTTACTTCATGCAGTTCATCCCTCAACCAAGTGAGATCCTGGACTTCTTCAACCCAGTGGCCAATCAGATCATTCAGCTGCTGAAGGGCAAAGCTTGCCTTCCTGCCAAAGAGGACAGCGGTAGGTACCAGAGTTTCCTTTAAGGCACAATATTTGCCCCTTGGAATTGATTTAATCTGCTTTTTTTTTTACCTTTGTTGGGGTAAAATGTTATAATTACCTTATTAAATGTGTATGCAATGTTTATTTTTTTGTTTTTTTTTGTCAAATACTTTAGAGGGCCAAGTGGAGTTCAAGCAGCCTTCCCAGCTTGCCGTGTGTCAGGACCGTCTGATCCAGGACGTGATTGGAGGAGAGGATCTGTGCAGAAGCCTGAGTCTGTCCTACCTGCATCCTGCGCTGCAGTCACGTCTCTCCAGCTCGCTGCTAACCGCGCTGGGCGTTCATCGCCTCAGAGCCGTCGAGATCATCACCGTCACCTGCGCCATGGCCAGAGAGCTCGTGCAACACGGCCGGCTCAAGACAGGTATCTTCTGCTGTGATTGTGTGCAGAAACCTGCAGGTTCTAACTGATCAGCAGTTTTATGATCGTATGTTTGTCTTTTCTGCTCAGAGCATGATCTGAAGAAGCTGGCCAGGCTGTTGGTGTGTAACTTTCGTGCGCTGGAGTCGGAGTATGAAGTTGACGCCCTGCTCCAGTCCCTCAAAGACGTTCCCATGATCCCTCTGGCCAACGGCAGTGTGGTTTCTCTGAGTTCAGAGGGAGTTTTCTTTCCTCTCAGTGATGTGTTGCAAGCTCAAACAGGTAATTCATCAACATCTCAATATTCCAGTCCTGCAGTGGAACCTTTCATACAGTTTTCTTGACATAGGCTATGTATATCTGGTGTGACTAATTAAGGAAAAAAATAATGTAGGCATTAAATGCAGCCGTCCCATCCAGACCTGTCTGTCATCTTACATTGGTGCGGTTGCTGATGAACATGATGCAGGATGACTATTAGAATGCAGTTATATGAGCCTAAAATTCAATATGTGAGGGCAAAAAAATCACCCTCTTATGTTTATGTCAGTTTAGCAATATCACACTAGCATGAGTGCTGTTTTGTCCCCAATACCTGTACCATTGCAAATGTGATATTGATTTACAACAACTGAATGAACAAGAAGTCAGTATTGTTACATTATTACAATAATGTGAATATTGTCTGGTTTTGCTCAATTCCGACAATGAAAATAGTTTTTATTAATCATGTATTTATAGATAAATATTTTTGCATAAATAATAAGTAAATAAAATATATATATATTTACACACACGTATATATCTCAGATTGGTTTCAGCAGATACTCAAGGTTGCACTAACGGCATCTGTATCGGACATGGAAAAAATTTTATCATGCCATCCTTAAACTCAATATTTCTTATAGATTAAATACAGTGGGTACGGAAAGTATTCAGACCCCTTTAAATTTTTAATTCTAAGTGGTATGTGTGGAGAAAACCAGGCACCTGTCCAATACAGTCCCAACAGTGAAGCATGGTGGTGGCAGCATCATGCTGTGGGGGTGTTTTTCAGCTGCAGGGACAGGACGACTGGTTGCAATCGAGGGAAAGATGAATGCGGCCAAGTACAGGGATATCCTGGGCGAAAACCTTCTCCAGAGTGCTCAGGACCTCAGACTGGGCCGAAGGTTTACCTTCCAACAAGACAATGACCCTAAGCACACAGCTAAAATAATGAAGGAGTGGCTTCACAACAACTCTGTTACTGTTCTTGAATGGCCCAGCCAGATCCCTGACTTAAACCCAATTGAGCATCTCTGGAGAGACCTAAAAATGGCTGTCCACCAACGTTTACCGTCCAACCTGACAGAACTGGAGAGGATTTGCAAGGAGGAATGGCAGAGGATCCCCAAATCCAGGTGTGAAAAACTTGTTGCATCTTTCCCAAAAAGACTCATGGCTGTATTAGATCAAATGGGTGCTTCTACTAAATACTGAGCATTTTTCAGTTTTTCTTTTTTAATAAATCTGCAAAGATGTCAACAATTCTGTGTTTTTCTGTAAATATGGGGTGCTGTGTGTACATTAATGAGGAAAAAAAATTAACTTAAATGATTTTAGCAAATGGCTGCAATATAACAAAGAGTGAAAAATTTAAGGGGGTCTGAATACTTTCCGTACCCACTGTATATCAATAAACCATAAAGAGATAGATATTTTAGTGAAACATTCGAAATTTCAGTTCCTCCTTTGAAAGTCCATGGGGAAAAAAACTTTGATGCTTCAGAAAGTTGAGGAAGAGATTGTAAGAGTAATCCATATAAATGCAGCGGTTTAATAAAAGTCTTCTGAAGAGATATAAACACACTTATATGATATTCAGATTTAATTTAGGCCTTTATTCATATATAACCATGATCAACACACATGCATAGAGCATATCAAATATGGTCAATGGAAGCATTCACGTTTATTTAGCTTCTGTAGAACTGGCTAATCTAAAATAATTTCTTGTTGCTTAAATGTTTATTAAGTCTTGTATTCAGTCAGCAGTTGCTTTTCATGTCTGCTCTTGTATGCGGACAGATTCTCTGGAGCTGTCTGCAAAATGAACGATCGTCTTCATCTCCTGCTTATTTCCTGAACCAATACAGTGAGTCACAGGAGAGAAAGCGCTCGAGCAAGTCACTACGTGCGTCACTACAGTCAAAAAAAGGGATAGTTTTGTGAATGAAACGCCAGGTTGAGATGAATTTGTCCTCTAAAATCTTTACTTTTACCTCTAATCTCAGTTTTGAAGCAAACTCCCACACGCGCTTTCTTTTGAACGTTAATAAACGAGCTGTTTTTCTTCTATGGCTGCTGTCAGATAAGTCATAAGAGATTTGTCTGGTGAAAATATGAATTGAGTTGAATGGAAACGAGCCATGCTGACGCTGTGTGTCAGGTAGAGTCACATACATCTGCTAAAAGCAGGGAAGGGATGAACTAAACATCAGTATTGGGGCCCAGAGGGTCTGGGAAGTGGGTCACGCAGCCGCTCGTGTGCACTCATGCTTCCTGACTCTGTAGATCTGCAGGCTCTCTACCAGGACCTGAACATCGTGGAGCCGCGGCTGCTGGCGTCTCTGGATGAACTGGGAAACTCGCAGGTGCGGGAGCTGCTCCGGAGACTGAACGTCCATGAGCTGGAGCCGCAGCAGGTCCTGCAGCAGCACATCTACCCGCTGCTCAGGAGCAAAGCCTGGGAGGTCAGAGACGCTTCTCCTGGTTTTGGTGACACTTTTATCCAAAGCGCTCTTAATACATGAACGGCTGTCCAATAGTAATGTCTCTAATGGGGTTTGAACCTACACACTTTCCACTTTTTCCAACCCAAATCTTTAACCACTGAGCCAAACCAGCTCTATTTAATTAAACCATTTGCATTTGCTTCATAAGAGAAGACCATCAGGCCTTTCTAAGTAACTCCACATCATTAGTTTGAGCTTCCAGTGGTTCACATTATGGATGCATGATATTAAAATTCTGGACTGTACTGATAAGCCAATTATTATTTTCATGGTATTATACAGTTTAAAGCATTTAAAATATATTAACTAAAATTCATATGCAATTTTAAAATGTAATTAATTAAAAATGTGTTCATTTAGTAATTAGTAATTTAGTAAATTAAATTTAAAATGTGTAATATGTTGTCTAAATACAATACAAATAAAACACTAAAAACTGATATTAGTGATTACAATTCTGGACTGTACTGATAAGACGAGTATTTTCACGGTGTGATACAATTTATAAAAATTGAAATGTACATTTATAAGTTAAAATGTAATTAATTCAATTGCATTCATTAAAATCAAAATGTATGAATTTATTAAATACATTTAAAATGTTAACTGTTTTGTCTCATTACATTAAAAATAAACACTAAGAACTAAAATCAGTCGTTTTAAAAGTATTTGGGTTTCAAAACATCACAATGGACAGTATGAAATTTGAATATGGATATTTGTTTTGAAATTTACAAAAGATTATTTTTAACGGTGCTAATGAATTATTACTTTTTTAAATATTAACTTTGAGCATTTAGACCAAGATTTAGCTATTTTAATTGCATATAAAATGTGCATATCCAATTTCTCATACATTTTAACTAATTTCAGTATTGCTTGTTCCACAGTCATATTTTAACCACGTTCATACTATTTAACTGAAATATTTAATTTATTGCAATTTTTAATTGAATTGTTTTCACAATGAACAGATTTTAAGCAAATTGAATAAATGCGTTTTGAAAATATGATTATTTAAATACAATCAAATAGATGTAACTAGTTAATAAACTATGCCATGATTTTTTTGAATGCAGAATCTGATCTTTTTATTTATGTATGACTGACGAATGTCACATTAAGTTTATTAGTTTGTTAAATATGTGTGTTCCAAATGGATGGAAATTTTATATGCAAACCTTATACATAAATCTTAAATTTAAATATTTTTTGAGTGTAGATGACGGCTAAAAAATAAAAGTATAATATTGGCCAGTAACCAATAAGATACAGATATATATCATGCATCTGTAGTTCACATGATCTTTTCTTACAGCTCAGCTTACTTAGTCTGTGTCCTTTAAACTGAATTACAACCAAGTTGGAATAAGATTTACACGTACTTGGGTGATTCCGCTCAGGATGTTTAAAACCGAATCAAGCGTGTGAAATGCATTATGTGCTGTCATCTATTATGAATGTGCCTCATATTCTTATTTAATTCACTCTCCTTCTAGAAAAAGCCCGAGGACATCGTCATCAGCTACCTGGTGTTCATCAAACTGCACTCTCAGGATCAGGATTACAGGAGTCTCATCACAAACGTCCCTGTGCTGACTAACAAGGGCTTCCTCTGCCCCGCCGAGCACAAAATCCACTTCTCCAAAGAGTACGGCAACATCCACCTTCCCAGTGTGCTCCCCGGTAAACACAATAAAAAAACTATTCACAAAGAAAAAAAGTTAAAAAAAATGTTTTTGTTGGTAACACTTTATTTTTAGGTGTCCTTGTTTAACATGTTACCTGTACTTACTATTATAATAACAATAAATTATGCATAATTACATGCAAGTAACTCTAAGCCAAACCCTAACCTCAAACCTTAAAATAAAGTGTAACAAAATAGTGTTTTTTAATAAATAAAAAAAAGGTTAAATAAAAACAATATTTAAGTGTGAAACATATTTTAAACTGTACATTATAGTGTTGTGATGGCTGAATTCACTTGTAGCAACTTTACAATTTTAAAGATTTTTATTTTTTTATTTATTTAAAGGGGTCCTATTATGCTTTTTCACTTTTTCAACTTTAGTTGGTCTGTAATGTTGCTGTTTGAGCATAAAAAAGATCTGCAAAGTTACAAAGCTCAAAGTCCACTTCAAAAGGAGATTTTTTATTTAACAGAAATCACTTTTCAAAAACTACAAAGAACGACTCGTTTGGACTACAACGCATATTTTCCAGGATTTGTGATATCACAAATATCGACGAATGGGACGAGACCTGGTCGAGCTGCACTAGAGAAGGCAACGAGTGTTATCACTATGTCGGAGACACGCTAGCTTTCCCAAGGCAGACGAACTTAGAGTGGTTACAATCATCC